TCTTTTTACTTACTTTTCATTTACTTTTTCACCTTTCTAAAAGTTAAAACTCTATTTTTCTTCCAATAAAAATTTAAACTTATCACTCATAATAATACTAAAAAAACTAAAGCTACCACCGGCCACACCAAACAGCCCAAAGTTCACGGAAATGGCTAAAAATGTCGAACGGAACCCACCTGCCCTTGGTGCAGAGCAGGCAGGGACCATAAAATTCTACGCGTGGACGAAACCAGAGGCGGGAATGGAACCATGAACAGAAAGTCAGAAACGGGAATGGAATTGACCGGTCAAATTTCTGGCCGCCGCCTCCTCCTCCTCGTTACGTTGGCTTCACTAGCTACTTACTACTGAGACAGGGTCAGCTACTCCATCTTACTCTACCGAGGAAAAAAAATGGCAGGACCAGCTCTTCCCCCTCTGAATGTTTTTTATCTATTGATCATCTTCACAATCGCCGTCGTCTCTGCATCCTCTTCACCATCACTCGCTTCTCCGCCGTCCTCCTTCTCTCCATCCAAGAAGCCGCCGCGCTTCCTCAGCAAAGTCTCACATGGAACCAGAACACAGCAGCAATACCGATACGAGATTCGGTATATCTCGCAGAGACTTGACCACTTCAGCTTCGCTGAGCTCCCGTGGTTTTCGCAACGCTACCTGATAAGCACGGAGCACTGGGTAGGCCCCAGCCGGCTCGGCCCCATCTTCCTTTTCAGCGGCGGCGAAAGAGACATAGAAGGAATCGCCGCAGGCACCGGGTTCGTCTGGGAGATTGCCCCTCGCTTCGGTGCAATGGTTCTTTACGCGGAGGTAACTCAAATTTCTTCACCATTTTTAAATCCATTTGATCAAATTTCAAACAATCTTTGCAAGCATCTTCTATAATTTGCAGCATAGGTACTACGGGGAATCAATGCCACATGGAAGTAAAGAAGAGGCATACAGGAATGCTTCCACACTGTCTTATCTAACTGCAGAGCAAGCGCTCGCGGATTTTGCCGTTTTGGTTACTGAATTGAAACGAAATTTATCTGCTGAGGCATGCCCTGTAGTCACGTTTGGTGGATCCTATGGAGGAAGTAAGCCAATAAATTGTTTCAGCTTTAATTTTCTCAAATCATAGTAAGCTAAAAAATTCTTTTTTAAAATGTGGGTAAAGGGTAATCTTTGTGGCATTGATGGTACAGTGCTAGCAGCGTGGATGAGGCTCAAGTATCCTCACGTTGCAATTGGGGCACTTGCTTCTTCGGCACCTGTTCTTCTGTTTGAGGATATTGTGCCACCAGAAACTTTTTATAACATTCTCTCCTATGCATTTAGGGTCTGTAGCACGGTTATCAGTTCGGTTCATCTTCTTCGGCATTTGTTTGTAGTAGTGTATTCTGTTTTGTGATACTGTCTCCCCTTTTATGTGTAGCGTGAAAGTGTTAGCTGCTTTAACACTATAAAAGAGTCATGGGGTGTGATAACATCTGAGGGTCTGAAAGAGGATGGTCTCCAGAACCTAACCAAAACTTTCCACTTATGCGGGTAAGGAAAATGTATGGAACACAAATGATATGTATATGTGGCAGTGTAATAATTCATGACGTAATTTGGGGAACGTATATATACCCCATCTTGCTCTACTTCAGATATCTGTTAATTTATTGGCTTGGTCTAATTCAAAATTATTGACAGGGAATTAAAGAGCACAAGTGACCTTGCAAATTGGTTGGACAATGCCTATAGTTATTTGGGAATGGCTAATTACCCATATCCTTCTGAGTTTGGAATGCCTCTCCCTGGACATCCAATAAGAGAGGTTAGTTGGGACATGCTAATTTCAAAGATATATCATGGCACTTGTAAAGCAATATAGATAAATACATGTATGATGAACTTCAGAGTTTATTAGTTAACTTCCTTTCAAGACTACTATTTGCCATCAATTTTTTCTAAAGTTATACTTTCATGTCTTATGTCTTTTGATGCCAGGACCTAATTAACACTAGAAGTGTTGAGGAATATTAACTTATGATAAGCATGTTCCTTTATGGTGTTAGCTTGTTCTTTCTTATTATTGTTGCTGCCATGGTTCTGGTCTTCTTATGGGATATACATATACTACTAATAAATATTGTCATATTGTAGGTTTGCAGAAAGATTGATGGTTCTCCTAATGGGTCTAGCACTCTGGAGCGCATTTTTAATGGAGTAAGCATCTTTTACAATTATACTGGAGATGCCAGTTGCTTTGAACTTGGTGATAATCTTGAAGGAATGAATGGTTGGGATTGGCAGGTCTGAAAATGTCATTACAATTCTTTTCCTTTTTCCTTCCAGATGACCCTACAAAAAGTTGCCTGAAAGCATCATGTTGATCTAGCACGTTCATATGCTTTCTTTTTCATTTTGTAGGCATGCACTGAGATGGTTACACCACTGGCAAGTGATCCAGACAAAAGCATGTATCCTGCCATCAGCTATAATTACTCTTCTTATCAAGAGAAGTGCTGGAAGAATTTCCGGGTCATACCAAGGCCTAGATGGATAACAACAGAATTTGGTGGACATGTAAGACATGCTACAATTTTTTAGTTTCATTATATTTGACTTTGCTTCTCAAGATTAGTAAACTTTAATTGGAAAAATTACTAAGAATGAGGGCTTTCATGGCTTTGAATCACTGTTTTTCATTAACATGATAAACTCATTTTTCTCCATTCCCTTGTAAGACTTGATATAGGTATCTCTGTTGTGAGTATTACATTTCCCTACATTCGTCCAATTCATCATCCCTTTTTCTACATCCTAATTGTTTCTCAACTGCATATGTGACAAAGCAGTTATTGTTAATTTCACTTCTATATGTTATCCTGCATCACATCTCAAATTACAACTGATAAAATGAAATTAATACTCCACTAAGATCTTTTTAAAAGGTAAAGTTACTAAAGTTAATGCATTTAAAGTTAATTTTTTGTCCTTTTTTAATTTGTGCATACAAGAAAGAAAAAAGAAGAATAAAAAGGAAGATGCATACAAGGAAAATCTAATACTAGATGCTAGTATAATCTTACATTACCGAGTTTCTCAGTTTCTCTTGTGGGTTTCTGAAGTTTCTTTAGTTGCTTCTTATGAAAAACAGATTGAAAACTTCCACATTTCCATGTGGCATGATTCTTTCTTTCAACGAGGGAGATGACAATCAAATTTTGACCTATAGAATATGAAGTATGGTTTAATCCCAACGCTATAATTTGATTATGATTCTTTTTTCCTTTTGTGGTGAAGGATATTGAGCATGTATTGAAAAACTTTGGAAGTAATATCATATTCTCAAATGGTCTATTGGATCCATTGAGTGGTGGCAGGTGACCTTCCTGTGTATCTATATCCTGTGACTATTGCCACAAAAGTGATCCACATTTGGTTTTTTATGAATTTGACATTATTTGTAAATTTGTTGCAGTGTTCTGAAGAATATATCCCAGACTATTGTGGCGCTCGTAACAAAAGAAGGTAATGCTTTATGAAGTCATCTCTTGTTTCATATTCATTGTTATTAGTCAAGATGGTTTTTTTTTTTTTTTTGGCAAATCAAGTTGTTCCTTTGCAGCAGCTGAGATTTTGCTTTTGAAATGTCTCAGGTGCCCATCATATAGATTTGCATGCCTCGACCCAAGAAGATCCTGACTGGTTAGTGGAGCAGAGGGCAAGTGAGATAAAGCTGATCGAAGGCTGGCTAAATGACTACTACAGTCAAAGGAAAGTGAAGGCTGGTTAAAGGACTACTTTAGTGAAAGGAAAGCAACCTTCAAAATGTTAGATACGACAGATTCGTGGTGGTAATCCTTCAGGGTGCTTTCCTGTTGTTA